TCAGCATGTGACACTCACCACATGTGGCTTTATTGTACAGCACAGATGTAGATGAATATACTAACACCATTCTCTTTTTATACTCCACCATATTATTTCAGTCAACAGCTTGTGATAGGTATTGAGTGACGATAAGATCATAATTAGACTCAGTGACATACTTATGTGCAGAGCATCACTTTGACAACCATCAGGCTGAGGGTAAAATTGGCATCCATTTATGAAAATTATATAGGCATAAGGCTGAACTGAAGACTCGCACTGCAAGACTATAAATGGACTTAAAGAGTATCTCTGAAGATGTAAAAATTATCCTCAAGAAATAATTTTGCAGAACCTTTTAACACAGTCTAGGCACCAGAGTTTAGAGTTCCACACAACAGTGTAATGCTGCAATAATATTGACCTAATTTTTTTAAAAAGTTAATTAGATGCCTATTTCACCTGTTGGGGAACAAAAATCTCGGTCAACACTTTCAAATGATCCCAACTTTTGTGCAATATCACTCCTCTGTGTGCCCTTTAAAATAGTTTTTAAAATATAAATCTAGAGTTTTGATGGGACTTACTATATAGTGATTACTAGCAATAAAATTCAGCTATGGCATGTTTGTTGAAGATGACAATTTTAGTTTGATAATAAGTACCCCAAATGAAATTATCTTATTAATCATGAGACCATATCTGCCAGTGCCAACTTCTATGGGAATTCTAAGGCACAGGTTTGGCTTGAACGTTACTTCCTGAAGATATCTAATATTAGCTTATTCAGTTCAGGCTATAATTGATTCCTAGCCATTGGATTCATGATAGAGGAAAGGCTCCTAAAAGCATAAAATAATATTTCTCTAAACAAATTTATCCACATGAGGAAGAAGAGAATACAAGTTGTTAAAAGTAGTAAGCTAAACTTCTGCTTTCAACCATGGATGGGATTTACTTTAAACAACTAGAAAACTAGAAAAAATACATAAAACAATAGTTTTCAGATACTGGACAATAGCAAAGAACAGCCAGCTCTAAGAGAAGGGAAACAAATGAGGAGATCCCTACAATTGCCCCAACATAATCCCTGGAGAGAATGTCTAGGCCAGTGTTCAGGTCATTTAAACAAAACCTGAGTTAAGAGAGAATTCAGTGTTTGGGAAGGCCAACACAGCTAGAATTTACAGCACAATACACCAGAGAGGAGAGGACTGCATAGAGAGGGCTATAGAAATCTGCAGGATGATGTCCCTGAAGTCTCTGGTTGATTGTATATGTGTGTAATGAAACTGCTGAGGCCAGGGAAGCAACCAGGAGAAAGCTGTAATGCCAGGTAAAGTTCATGTTCGCACCAGCCTGAGTGGAGACGCCTCCTAATACACAGAGCATTGTGCCATTCACTAAGAAGTACGTTGCCTCAACAGGGAAGCAAAATTAGAATTAGACTTACCCTACAACTTAAAAGCAGGCCTTTAAATGATCACAGTTTCCAACCATCATAGCTGCAGCCAAGGGCAAAAGCTAGGAAAAAATTTTAAAGAATAACAACAACAAAAAAAAAAACATTAAAAAGTGGGCAAAGGATGTACATAGACACTTCTCAGTGGAAGACATTGAAGCAGCCAAAAGAAAAGAAACAAGAAAAAATGCTCAGCTTCACTAGTCATTAGAGAAATGCAAATCAAAACTATATTGGGGTACTACCTCATACCAGGCAAGATAGCTATCATTAAGTCAAAAAGCAACAGGTGTTGGTGAGATTGTGGAGAAAAAGGAACACTTTTACTAAACTTTTGTTGGGAATGTAAGCTAGTTCAACCTTTGTGAAAAGTAGTGTGGCTTTTTCTCAGTTGAGCTACCATGTGATTCAGCTATCCCACTTCTCAAAATATACCTGAAGGAACATTAATCGCTCTACCAAAAAGACACCTGCACACATATGTTCATTGCAGCACCGCCCCCCAATAGCAGAAACAAGGCTAACCCAGATGCCCATCCATGGTGGACTGGATAAGGAAAATGTGGTACATATGCTTGATAAAATATACATTTTATACATATTTATGCAGCCATAAATAACAAAGTCCTTTGCAGCAACATGGATGTAGCGGGAGACCTTCATTCTAAGCAAACTATCACAGAAACAAAAAACTGAATATCTCATGTTCTCACCCATAAATGGGCCCTAAATATTGGGCATACAAGCACAAAGGTGGGAACAACTGATTCTGGGCACTATTAGCAGGGGTTAAGGGACACACAACCACCCATTACCAGAGTGAGAGGGCTCACTAGAAGCCCAAACCTCACCTACCCACTACTTATGCAGCAAATCCTCACATGTACTCCCAACTCTAAAATTAAAATTTAAAAATTAAATTGTATTTTATTTTTTAAAAATTCTAAGGGAAAAAAAGGAAGAAAAGAGAAATATTTAGCAACCAGCAATAAAAAATTCATGTTTGGCATCCAGTCAAAAATTTCCAGGGATGCAAAGAAGCAGGAAAATACAATGCATAACCAAGAGAAAAATCAGTCATTACAAACAGACATAGGACATAGAAATTACATAGATTAGAGAATTAATAGACAAAGTCACGAAAACAGCTATTTTCAATATTCATCATGTGTTCAAAAAGGCGGAGGAAAGCATGATCAAGAGATGAAGAGAAATGGAAGGGGAAGGAAAGATCTAAATCTAACTTCTACACATAAATAATATGTACAAAATGAAAATAGTATAATAGATGGAGTTAACAGTAACTAAGACACTGAAGAAGAAAATATAGATGAATTTGAAGACAGTAACAAAATAACTTAAATACAGAGGAAAAAAAGACTTGAAAACAGAATCACTGAGTCTTGGACAACATCAACCAACCTATTATAATGGAATCATAGAAGAGGAGGAAAGTGGTGGGAAAACAGTATAAATATTTGAATAAAAGTTTTAAAATTGTCAAGTTTGATTATAAATTTACAAATCCAAGAATCACAAATAACCCAGCCTGAGGAAAAGGAAACATATAAACCATACCAAGGAACATTATAATCAAATTTATTTAAACTCTTTTAAAGAGAAAACATTTAAGCAGAAAGAAAAAAAGAGAAACAACAGGAAGAAAGAAAACAAATTTCTAATAAAAAGAAGTTTTTTTAAAACAAAAAGTTTTAAAAAGTTCTTTATGGAGAAGGAATGGTGTAGCAGTTGGGAATTTGGATTTACACAAAAGAATGAAGAACACAAATTGATAGATGTATGGGCAAATATTAAATATTTTTTCAAATCTCTTTAAAATATTATAGTTGGCTATATAAAGGGAGAATAATCACAATGAATTACGGGTTTTATACCACAGAGAAGTAAAATATGTTTCAATACTGGGACAAAGGTGAAGATGAACCTTTTGTAAGGTTTTTATACCATATATGAAATAGTATGAAATTACTTTAAGGTAGGCTATGATAAGTTAAATATGTACTGTATGTACATGTTTTATGTATTTAAAGCTAAGGTTTTTATGTATTTGTGCTTTATGTATTTAAAGCTAGGGTTTCCACAAAATAAAAAAGACAGAATTAAAAAAAGAAAAAAGACAGAATTAAAAAAAGAAAATGAGCACCAGAATATGTAAAAATCAGCAAGATGGAAAATTTAAACACATTTTTAAAAATCACTTTAAACATGAGTGGTATAGATATGCAAATAAGTGATTGTTGTATAAATTTTTTATTGATTTATTTATTTTGAGTTGGAGTCTCACCTTGTCGCCCAGGCTGGAGTGCAGTGGCACACTCACAACCACTGCAGCCTCAGCCTGCTGGACTCAATCAATCCTTCCATCTCAGCCTTCCAAATAGCTGGAACTACAGGCATGAGCCATCACGCCCGGCTAATTTTTTGATTTATTGTAGAGATGAGGTTTCACCAAGTTGCCCAGGCTGGTCTCGAACCCTTGGGCTCAGGCAATTCTCTCGCCTCAGCCTCCCAAAGTGCTGGGATTATAGGTGTGAGAGACCGTGCCCGGCCAGAGGACAGAATTTTAAAAGGAATAGAGAATATTATTTTATAATGAGGAAGTGGTCAGTTTTTCAAGATAATATGACAGTCCTAGATGCTATATACCTACTAACAGAGCTTCAAAAGCAAAAATTACTTGAATTAAAAGAAAAAACAGAAAATTCACAATGGTAGAGACTGCAACATATCTCAATAAGTAATAGAACAAGTAGACAAAATCAGCCAAGATATAGAACATTTGAAAACACTATCAACCAGTTTGACATAATTCTCATTTATAGAACACTTTGACCAACAGCAGCAGAATACTTCCTTTTCAAATGTATACAAAACATTTACCAAGATAGGCTACACTTTGTGCTATAAAACAAGTCAGGAAATGTAAAAAGATTGAAATCATAAAAAGCATATTCTCCAACTACAGTGGAAATAGAAATCAATAGAAAGATAGCTGAAAAAATCTCAAATATATGAAAACTCAACAAGCATGTCTAAACAAACTTATAAATCAGAAGATATCAGGAGAAAATTTAAAAGGTATTTTGGACTGAATGAAAAATGAAACATGGTGTATCAACATTTGTAGAATGCAGCTAAAGTGGTGCTTAGGGGGAACTTTATAGCTTTAAATCAGAAAAATCAATGAAAGTCTGGTAATTTGAGAAGATTAATCAATAAGTTCATAGCTGCAGGAAAGAGAGAGAGGACACAAATTAGTAATACCAGGAATGAGAGGTGACATCACTACCAGTGCTACAGATAGTCAAAGAATAATAAGGAAATACTATGAACACCTTTACCTAGCACCTCTTTCTTAGGTCTACCATCTAACTTGCCTAAGCCTGATGGATGGGCTCCGTTAATTATGCTCTGTGGCTATTCTTCTCCATATCGATATAGACTTATTTAAACAAATTAGAAATTTGCATCTATTTTGAAATTAGGTAATTTTACTAGAAATGTAAATGCTACAACTTTTAAAATTTAATTTCAGGTACATATCAGTTTTTAAGGCAGCTATAAAAGATGACATGCAAAAAGTTAAAACTGCAATGAAAACTATGGGACCAGCAAAAGTTGAAGTACCTTCTCCAAAGGATTTCCTGAAGAAACATTCAAAGGAAAAAGTTCTACCACCCAGTAGGTTTTATCACTCTTTCTTTTTAATACTAAAAGTGTTAGGTAGCATAACTAAAGTTACTTTACTGTTGATTATTAAATATGCACAGGTGATAACTTTACCTCTTATAAACAGAATTTGGGTGACTAGGAGAAAGTAGAAGTAGAGAATATAGTAGAAAAAGAGTGGAGAGGAGGTGAACGTTATGAACTGCATCTTGGATTGTCCAATGAAGCCCTGCCTTACCATCTTAGTCCCTACGCATATGACTTTATAAACAACAATTATAAGAAGAATTCTAAATCCCAGAGACAGTGTCTGACTAATGGACAAGAATGTCTCATCTGTCTCATCTTTCTTATAAGAGATGAAAATTATAACCTTTACTAGCCATTGTTGGAGCAACCACCAGTCTCACTTTTGAGTATGAGCTTTTACTCTCCCAGGCCTCTAAGACCAGTCTGACTATAAGTGAGTTATGTGAGTGAAGGAGGAAGCTTCTCGAATGATAGTACACAGAGCCAACTAAGAACAACCCAATATTTAGTTCAATGCTCTGCTCTTGCCATCTTGAAATTCTTAATAACTTTTGATCAAGGAGCACTGTATTTTCATTTTTATACTGGATCTCGAAAATTATGCTGCTGCTCTTGGTCACAGAATATAGTAATATCAGGAAAGAAAGTTATCAGAAAAGTGGAGAATGGATGGAAAGGGATCTTTAACAAGTACGCATGGAAGTGGCTTCTTTACATTTTAGGTATGTCTTCCACATATCTTAGGGTAATAAAGAAAAGAGAAACAAGTCTGTCTCTTTAAAATGTTGGCCTTTTTGTCTGCTGGCCTCAAGGAAATAATGCTACATTTCAGGCCCAGCTAGGGATTAATGTTTTTTTTTTGTTTTGTTTTGTTTTTTTAGTGGAAGTCTCACTGTGTCACACAGGCTGAAGTGCAGTGACATGATCACAACTCATCACAACCTCGAGCTCCTGGGCTCAGGCCATCCTACCCCTCAGCCCCCAAGTAGCTGGAACTACAGGCATGTGCCACCACATTCAGTTAATTTTTAAAAATTTTTTGTAAGGCCGGGTGCGGTAGCTCAAGCCTGTAATCCCAGCACTTTGGGAAACCAAGGTGAGGGGATTGCCTGAGCCCATAGCTTCGAAAACAGCCTGGGCAACTTGGCGAGACCTCATCTCTACAATAAATCAAAAAGTTAGCCAGGCAGTAGTGCATGCCTATAGTTTAGGCTACTTGGAAGGCTTAGGCAAAAGGATCGCCTGAGCCCAGCAGGTCAACACTGGGGTGGCCATGAGTGTGCCACTGCACTCCAGCCTGGATGATAGAGTGAGACTCCAACAAAAAAATAAAAAAATAAAAAAAAAAGAATTTTTTTTTTTTTTTAGAGATGAGGTCTTGCTGTGTTGCCCAGACCAGTCTTGCTGTGTTGCCCAGACCTGGCCTCAAGCAATCCTCCCACCTCAGCCTCCCAAAGTACTGGGATTATAGACATGAGCCACCATGCCTGGTACGCGTATACATTTTAACAAAAGTGAAACTACTTCTCCATATGGCAGTACTTAATATCCCACAGTTCTCTCTCTCAGCCCATATCCCATGACAAAGGGTAAGGGCATTAACAGGAAAGATAGAAGCAAGTCTGAAAATATAACATTCATGCTTAATTAATGATTTCAGAAGTCTTTCATACCTTTCTCTAGTGGAGTCTTGTGATTTTGTGACTCACAACACCATTTGAGAACACTAGAAAATCTTAAAATGGAACTGGATGCTTTGGTTCCTTAGGACCAGTGATATCCCTTGGGTCCTCTAGTATCTTCTCTAGGGCTGATATATTACACAACTACATGTTACACAATTACCAAACTATATAAATCCTGTGTATCAAATAAGGAAAAAGGAAAGAAGAGTACGTATCATCTTATAAACATTGTAAGGCAAAAGCACACACAAAATTTCACTGACTTTAAGAATAATTAAGAAATTCATGATGTTGCAAGAGCTTCAAAATCCCAGTTCACTATGATAGTTTTGGAGGCTAGAAGTCCAACATCCAGGTGTCAGCAAGGGTGGTGTCTCCCTATGTCTTGACGTGTATGTCTGTGTCCAAATTTTATCTTATAAAGATATCAGTCATACTGGATTAGGGCCCTCTCTAATAATCTTATTTTAACTTAATTATCTCTTTATAGACCCTATCTTCAAATGCAGCCACATTCTGAGGTAGCAGGGGTTAAGGCTTCAACATATGAATTCTGGGGGATATAATTCAACTCTAACCGGAGGTTAATTCAGTCTATAGATTTTTAACAATAAGCATTGTTTTTTCTGATAATGAAAGTTATAGAAACATGCATAAATAGATCAAACAATACAGAAATAAAGTCAAAGTCCCTAGTAATTGTGATGGAGTTAAGATTGGAGTAAGACCTTGTTAAGAGAGTTGTTGCTTTTGGATCTTAGAAATAAATTATAACTATTTCGCATTTTAGCCTTTTGACAAAACATTTTGATGTGGCTCTATCAAACAGATTGGTTGGAATGGTCGAGCTGAAGAGGCAGGGTAAAAATGGCCAGTTTTATGTGCTATTGATGAGAATGTAGTATAAATAAATAAATAAGATAAATTCTTAAGGATGCAGTCAGGAGGGTGTGAATAAGAATTTTCAACTGTATTGGTAATGATTTGTCAAACTGCATGTTGAGTACACAGCTATTACATGATTTTTACACCTTATGATAATAGTTTTAGTGAAAAATTCATAGCTTCTTGGAATTTCAATACATCAAGTTTGGTGACTTTTATAAATTTCCTCTAAAGAAGCAATTATTGGTAATATTAACAGTACTCAGAAAACAGTTCTAATGTTTCTCATTTAAACTTACTTTAAATGGGAAAGCTGAATATTTATTGTTGAATTTTTTTCTTTTTTTTCTTTAGTTTTTTGTTTTGTTTTGTTTTGTTTTGTTGGAGTCTCTCTCTGTTGCCTAGGCTGGAGTGCAGTGGCATGCTCATGGCCACCACATTCTCAACCTGCTGGACTCAGGTGATCCCTCCGCCTCGGCCTTCCAAGTAACTGGAACTACAGGCACATGCTATCACACCTGGCTAATTTTTTTGACTTATTGTAGTCTCAAACCCCTGGGCTCAGACAATCCTCTCACCTCTGACTCCCAAGTGCTGGGATTACAGGTGTGAGCCACCACACCTGGCTTCTTGTTGAAATCTTTATAAGAAAATATTTTCACAATAGCCAGTAAAAATGTATTAGTTAGCCAATATATAATTTGGGATGCTTATTTTTTGCCCTTAGAATTTTATACTGTTTTTTAACATATTAATTCACTATGTTGTCCTTAATATTTTCCATTGTGATTACTGACATTTTTAAACCACTTTATTGAGGTATAATTGACATGTACATATTTAATGTATACAACTCAATGAGTTTGGGGAGAAGTATAAACTTTTCACCCTAAATACTTGAATATATTGTTAATAAAATATACTAGTGGTAAAACATCTGGCTATTATAAATAGTACTGAGTAGCAATGTTTATAGTTTAATATTAACAATGAAATGTTACATTTAACAGAACAAAAGTTTGATCGAAATCAGCCCAAAAAGCCTGCAGTGCCACTGAAGACTGATCATCCTGTCATGGGAATACAGAGTGGAAAAAATTTTGTAAATACAAATGCAGCCAATGTCATCATGGGAGTGGCTAAAAAGCCTCAATCAATTTACGTTGACAAAAGAACTGGGGACAAGCATGATCTTGAAACTTCAGGACTGGTTCCAAAGTACATCAATAAAAAGGTAGTCTTGTGATATACTAATGACAGACCTGAGATTCAAATAATTAAAATATGGTGTTCATAATGATCATCTATATTATCATTAATGTGCTCTCCCTGGACACATTATCTAGGTTGCCAATTCCCATTCCTCTGCAACCTTTGGTCCAAATCTAATGTGATGAAGCTGCAGAGAACTTGTAATAAACAACACCATACAGTCAGTAGATGAAAGGTGTACGTAGTTGTTTTCCTTAATTTCAGTTTCAAATATAACACACATTCTCTGAAAGGTATTAATTTTGATTAGGTGAAATGTCAATGAAAGCACAGTCACTACTATAAATCTAGAAAGAATAACTTTCTGAAGATCTTAGGATGTAGTCTTTAAGTTGCAGTAACTTGGCAGCAGAATGAGAAAAATTAAGTGAAAAACAACTTTGGAGCCATCCATCTCATCCGTGTAGTATAAATAATTCACATACTATCTTAACATGAGTATATTTACATAGGCATATAATTTTATTGGTGAACATTATAGGAGCTTGTATTTAATGGTTTAATACAGAAGATCTTTAAAATTTAAAAAGTTGAAAAAAATACAAAACTTATTTTGTTTTGGATACTTATAAAGCTTAAAAGTACTTAAAATACACATAGTAAAATATGAGAGTGAAATTCTGAAGAAGTTGTAGCAAGAAGAAATGAAGGGAGAGAGAAACAGAGGAAGAGAGAAAGGGAGGAAGGGAAAAAATAAAAGAAATTGCAATAGTGAGGTATGAGGGCCTTGGACTGAGGTAATCCAGTGATCTACTGTAATAAAATTAATGTCTGTTAAAAAGTAAAACAGGAATCTCAAGGCTGTTTTCAGAGGATACTACTTATTCTCCGAGGAACTCTTCTCACACAGTAGACTGAGATCACCTTTGGAAGAATGTTAGCAGGAATCTGAGACTGGCAGCATATGCCAATAAAGTTACTTCAGGCTTCTCCAGATCCTCCTTCTGTGGTCCCTGGAAACGACTCATAGTCCTTGTCCCATAGAGGGGGAAGAGTAGAAGGTTTGCCCTCTTGTCTCTTAAAGCCACTTCCAATTTATTACTTATCATTAGCACATAAAAACCCTTCTCCTTTATGGTCATGCCACCATCTGCCACATACTCTGCCCCTCCTGGCTGCTTTCTACCTAAGTTATCCACTTTAATGCATTTTCTGTCATGAACCGGGCACTGGGAGTTCTCATCATAGAAACAGAAAAATATTGTATTAATTTACCTGTGCTTGTTTACTAAGCCACGAACACTGAGCACTGTGTCCTCTTGATGTTGCTGACTAAGCAAATCATGAAAGACTTAGGCCATTTACTTTTCACTTACCAGAGTTGTTTTAAAAATCTATTATTGGTAAGTGAGATAGTAAATCAGTCCTTTTAAAGGCAATCCCATTTTTTAAAAAAATGCGTGAACTTCACATTTTAGTTCCAAATAAAATATACACCATTTGTGCCATGATAAACAATTTGGGGAAACAAACTGAAGGATGATCACATGAGGTATTTAGCAATAGAAATAAGACATCATTTCAAATTCTGACTCTGTCACTTACTAATAACTCTGTGATCTCTGACAAGTCATGGGATTTATCACAGAGTTATGAGAAGAATTAAATGATTTAAGCATTTAAGTACATTAAGCACTTGACACAATACCTGGCACCTAATGAAAGGTCAACAAAGAGTCAATACTATAATATATGTAATGATCAATATTATTAGCATACATTAGCCCTCAGTGATTCAGCACATAGGAATATTTCAGATCACTGAAGCTTTTGCCTGTTTGTGAGATGTTTTTCTGAAATGTGTCACACCATTCCCTTTCTTAAACAGAGGATGCCAATTATATAACCTTTCGTGATGCTGCAGGCTCACCATTAAGAGCCTCGGTTATTGTACTGAGCTGTAGTGAGGTGTTCCCCGGAGTGGACTGACCTGCTTCTCACTGCTCTGACTAGAATACTGTGCTCTCAGAATTTGTTGTAACAAGCTTTACAACTTTCCAGAACACATTTATATCTAGGATTCTTATCCCTTGTTCAGTCAGGGTGGAATCAGTTATGCTGTGTTAACAAATAACCTCCAAACTTCTGAAACTTAAAACAACAAAGTTTTATTGTTTGCTTGTGCTGCCTGCCCACTGAGGGTTGTTAGAGGCTCTGCTTCTTGTTATACTCCTTCCAGGAGCCAAAAAAGCCAAAACACTTTTTGTCTCCAGACCAGATAGTAAAAGAATACAGCAAGTCATCCACTAGTTCCTTTTTTTTTTTTTGAGCTAGAGTCTCACTATGTCGCCCAGGCTGGAGTGTAGTGGCACACTCATGGCCACCCCAGCATCGACCTGCTGGGCTCCAGCGGTCCTGCCACCTCAGCCTGCCAAGTAGCCAGAACTACAGGTGTGCACTACCATGCCTGGCTAATTTTTTATTTATTGTAGAGACGAGGACTTGCCAAGTTGCCCAGGTGGGTCTCAAACCCATGGGCTCAGGCAATCCACTCGCCTCGGTCTCCTAAAGTGCTGGGATTACAGGCTGAGCCACTGAGCCCGGGTCATCCACTAGTTCTTAAGGGTTCTACCCAGAAGTGACACTCACATTGAGCAAGTCGGGTCATATGACTACATCTTGCTTCAAGGGGAGCAGAAAAGTGTTGTCCTACCATGTGCCCAGAAGGAGAAGGGCCAGAATATTTGTAACGACCACCTTCATCTCAAGTGTTGCTTGCTCAGAGAGTTCTTCTTCCCTGATCTTATTTATCTAAATTAGCCCCATTATGTTCTTTCCCCTTATTTTACTTTATTTTACTTCAGAGTTCTTATGTATACTATTTATGCTTTATTTTTGGTGAGTCTTTCTCGCCATAGAATGCAAATTCCATGAGAACATGTTTGCCTTTCTTGTTCGCTGTTATACCTAGCACCAAGGACATGCTCAGACAATTTTTTGAAGAATGAACATGGATATATTAGTTCTCTTTCTCTAGACAGTGACTTCGTTGTGTTTACCAACTGGAAGAATCACAGCTGATTGCTTCACTCTCAGTCCTTGTAAGCAGCCCATTCCAGTCAATTTCCTCTTAAAGCTGATATGTGTGGGTTTTTTTGTTTTTTTTTTTTTGAGTTGGAATCTCACTCTGTCACCCAGGCTGGAGTGCAGTGGCACACTCATGACCACCCCAGCATCGACCTGCTGGGCTCCGGCGATCCTGCCACCTCAGCCTTCCAAGTAGCCATAACTACAGGAACGCGCTACCACGCCCAGCTAAATTTTTTATTTACTGTAGAGATGAGGTCTCGCCAAATTGCCCGGACTGGTCCCATGGACTCAGGCAGTCAACTAACCATGACCTCCAAAAGTGATGGGATTATAGGCTGAGCCACGAGCCCCGCCTTGTGGTCTCTTTTAGGAGTTTGTTTTTTATATGCCTTGAAAACCTTTGTCTACTTCACAAGAGCATGAAAAAGAGACCTCAAGATATTCAAGATAGTTCAGGGTAAATAGCAGAAACACATAAAGGATAGAAAAGTCAACTCTTAGGGGGTAAAGTAAGGACCTGTCCTCAGCTAAGAACAGGCACTGGTGACATTCAGAAGATGGAAACTAAGTGACCACAATAACAGCTAGGGCAGTTTTAAAAGACTAGAATTAACTAGTTCTCCCGAGGAAAATCACTGAATTTTGTCAACTTAAGGGTTTTGGGAAAAGGGTTTTAGTCTGTAACATTTATTTTTCTCCCCATCCTTGGCTGGTATGTATACACATATAAGATTGCTTTCAGGATGTTCATTATTTTTTTCTGAAAAATTCTTACAGGATTATGGTATTACACCTGAATACATTTGTAAGCGAAATGAGGAAGTAAAGAAAGCTCAAGAAGAATATGATCATTATATCCAGGAAAATCTTAAGAAGGCAGCTATGAAAAGGCTTTCTGATGAAGAAAGGGAGGCAGTTCTGCAGGTGCGTGTTCTGCAATTATATTCATCTGAGATGCTCAGGAACATCTCTGAAAGAAAGACCTACCATCTACTTGGTTATTAAAGCCAGCACTTTGATTTTGAAATCAGAACAATCTCTTTTGGTTATAGTGACAAACTATATGCAGCAAAGGAGACTCTTTGAGGAGAGCAAAAAGCTGTAATATAGAGTTTCACTGAATAATATTTTGTTTCCAACTTGGTACACTTCTATTTTTTTCCTGAACTTGTGTTGTAAGGAGGTCTACCTTCTCCTATAATGAACATGCATACATAAGGCAAAAGAGCATTATTTTCATTCTTATGTCCCTGAATTTATTTTAAAAAACAATATTCATAAATTAGATATTTTTCACTAGATGGAGCTCTGGAATAACTTGAAACTGTCTTTAAACCAGCTTTTTTTTTCCTTTCCTATAGAACAAATGTTCAGACTTTTAAATAAACAGGGGTTAGGTTTTACATATATTTTTCTTATTTTGAATAAAATAGACTCAAAGATATATCTGCATTGGAGTTTCTAATGCAGACTTTTATCCAAAGCATTTAAAATATTTGGGTGTGTGAGCAGGGTTGCACCTTTATCATTTGTAGGGAGTGTTTTATATATATATATATATATATATATCTGTTATCTTTTGGAATTTCAATAGCTTAATCGCTAGTACTGATATTATATTATACCTGCACTGTACCTCCTTAGATCCATATTCTAGAAGTGACAAGAGGTAGCCATAAAGCTATACTTCTGCCAAGCCCTTTCTAGTACTTATTAATCTTGAAAAATTGATTCATATGCTGTTACAAATTAAGTATGACTCTATGTCCCTGAATAAGCCACATTCTGCTCATTCTTCATAAAATAACAGTTTGATTATACACGAAAGGGATCATCTGGTCTAACAATTCCAAACATCATTATACCTGGAAGGGATCATCTGATCTAGTGATTCCAAACTTCTCATTTTCACAAATGAGGACATAAAATACAAATATATTAAGTGGGCTCATTTGTTCATGTATCCATTCATTCATTTATTGAACATCTACTATGTTCCAGATATGATATCTAGCCAGGGCATACTGTAGTGAGCAAAACACAGCCCTTACTGTCAGTGAACTTAGAGTTTGGTTTTCACTTGCCCCTGATCTCACAAATATCAAGTAGATGAATAGGGACTAAAACTCACACATACCAATTTCTAGGCTGGTGTTTCCCCCGCTACATTATGCATATATACACAGGAGGTAGCAGAGGGAAGCTGGGTCGGTCAGGGTGCCAGCAGGGAGTAGGTGGCACACTCAGCTGGGATTCTGAAGAGAATTTGTGAGGGAACCAGCAAGCATCACTGAGGCACCCCAGGGCTAAGGACAACAGGAATTCACCACCACCTAGGCTTGAAAGGCAGGGACAGAAGCAGTGTTAACAGAACCCAGTGAGAGCTGGAGCCTGGCTGAGTTATAGTCACCAATGAATGCAGCCAGAGCTAGAGTCCAAGCAGTGTCAGAGGAGAAGGGGAGAAATGCCCCAACCTGCCTCTCTTCCCTCCAGGGTCCCCTTTACTGAACTCAGAGGTTTGAGGGCAGAAAAGTCAGGAGAGCAGCCTACAAGAAGAAACTCCCACCTATCATGGAGCAAGACAAGAAGGTGGAAAGTGTTTGGGGCAAGGGGGAATGTGCAAAAGGAGCATGAACTGGAAACACTTCTTATTGTATTACCACTTCTCCCTATTTAAATTTTTTCCAAAATTGACAATATTATTCTTCATTAAAATAAAAGAGAGAAAACTTAAGAAATAAAAATAAGGGAAAATCACTATTGCTGCAATGGATAAAAGATATTTTTTAGATGAAGTTTTTTTAAAAACTCCTGGGAGCAGTGACTCATGCCTGTAATCCCAGCACTCTGGAGTCCAAGGCAGGAGGATTGCTCAAGCCCAAGAGTAACATAGCCTGGAAAACACAATGAGACTTCATCTCTACAAAAAATCAAAAAATTAGCTGGGTGTGGTGGTGCACATCTGTAGTCCCAGCTACTTGGGGGGCTGAGGCAGGAGGATTGCCTGAGCCCGGAAGGTCAAGACTGTGGTGAGCCATGATTGTGCCATTGCACTCCAGCCTGGGCAACAGAGCGAGACCCCAATTCAAAAAGTAAATAAATAAATAAAGTCTTAAAAACAGCAAGGGGCCTATTTCAATATAATGTGAAATATTAGCTATATTTAGTTTCCATCCCTAGCCATTGACTTTGATCCAGACATTACTATACATACTGGAAGATAAAAGCAAACTATCCTTTGAAAGAAAATACAGAGAAAAAGTGTAACTGCTGCGACCAGAAGTAATATGGAAATATCACCTAACTAGCTATGAAAAACCTTTGATATTTGCAAGTGTATAACTATGTAGATTTCCTCTCTGCAATAGGCACCCCTGTGGAGCACTGTGGGAGTCTATTTCACATTTCATAATGAAAGACTATGGAGAAATAGAATTCTTTTGAGGGCTCCCTTTGGAACCACATCTCATGCACTATTAAGAACTGTGTTAACCTATCTGCCTCTTGTTAAAATTTCACCTGGGTACTTTTTCTTCTATCTTTTCCCTTTCTCAGATCCAATAAGATGTCATAATTTTTGCCCTTTTTCCCAACCAACCTATTCTACCCAGTGTGCCCTATCCTATCAGCACTGTTACCTAAACATGGAAATATATCATTGATATATATTTCCCTGAGAGTTTCTACAAGATTATATTTGTGCTACATGGGCTTATGATGAAGGTGTTATTATATGACCATGGTTTTCAAAGACCATGCTTTCAAGGCAGTATTTTAAATTGCACTTTCTGTTTTGCTTTGTGTGTGTATGTAAATGAAATAATCTGTGCACTCATAATGAATAATAAAATGTGTTGATTTATAAAATTCCATTGAATGGATTTTCAATTAGTAGTTTTAAGACCATGTGTCAATGTAACCCCCAGTGCACGGCAATAAGAAATGGTAACTATACAGAGGTGGAAATAACCCTTATTGCTCCTAAGAGATTCCTAATTTTGAATTTGTTGGTTTCTGAGAACATAAAACATTAACTACGTTATTGAATTAGTGTATGTGTTACATTTAATAACCTTCCAGTCATTTCTACAATACATTAATGAGAAATATAGATTGCTTGACTATATGAAGGACAATTGATTCTTTCTAATATAGTGAAGAGATACATAAAAGACCATTTTTTGTAAAAATTAGTGTTGGCATTTTTACAATCCCATTTTGTCAAATATAAGAAAATATGACCATGCACATCGTAACTAGGTTTTTGGGTGTAGTTTCTCTGTTGATGAATGAGGATAAAAAAAAGAAAATTCTAAAGAAACAAAGGAAAATTTTTTTTTTTTTTTCGAGTTGGAGTCTCACTCTGTCGCCCAGACTGGAGTGCAGTGGCCGCTCCCAGCCACCACAGCCTCGACCTGCTGGGCTCTGGCGATCCTTCCGCCTCAACCTTCCAAGTAGCTGGAACTACAGGCGCATGCTACCACACCCGGCTTATTTTTTGATTTATTGTAGAGATGAGGTCTCACTGCCCAGGCAGGTCTCAAAGTAAAATTTTTATAAGAAATAATTTCCTGCTCAAAAATGTTTTGTATTCAAGGATATCAACTTTAAGTTTTTTGTTTTTTTTCACTAAAGCATTTGCTAGGAGCTTAGCTTCATACTACTCGTAACTCTGCATGCACATATTTGATGGTAAAAACAAGTACAGTAACATTAAAAACAGAAAACAAATACTCCCAATGGGACTTGAGCACACAGTCAAGGACAGACTTTGGCCTCTGTTCCATGTTTTTTCTTACTGTGGCCAAATATTCGATACATACATACAGTTTTTAAGGTTGTTTCCACCCATTTTCTTTACCTATTTACATTTTTTATTACCAATTTGCATTCCTATTTTCTTTACTTTCACGGTTTACTTTAGTATTTACAGTTTCTTTGCCATTAGCAGGGGCTGAAAAAGAACTGGGAAGAGGTGCACAAGGAATTCCAGTCCCTCTCAGTCTTCATAGATTCCATACCCAAGAAGACCCGCAAGCAGAAGCTGGAGGAAGAAATGAAACAACTGGAACATGACATTGGTGTCATTGAAAAGCACAAAATTATTTATATTGCCAATAAGAAATAATTAATTCTCAAAGTATAGTAATTTTAATAGAAGAAAAAACATGAAAAATATAGAAATGATACCATAAGTTTTTCAAAGAGAAAAAAACTATGAAGAGAATAAAAATAGTCTTAATCAAAATACTTAGGCAATATTTAAAGAATAATTGAGTTATTCGCTTATACAATAGAAAATTTTGTTTTTACTAGTATTGCATTTTCCACGTAAACACCATCAAAGGTTGAGGCTGTGTGTCCCAGTTCTATAATGCAATTCATAATTATTATGTCCTTGTTTCATATAAATATAAATGTATGGGCCCTAAAAAATAGTCAGTACTCAGAACGTCAAATTTTTTTCTGCATTGTATAATACAAAGGGTACAACTTTAAAAACTATAAGTATTTTTATTGGAAATTGTAGCATGTACTTTCTTACTACTTTAAGGTGTTTCCTACATATTGTTGCTGGACTCCACAACCTTAAGAGATATATTCTCTGATTGCCTATGACATTTGCAGTTATTCCCAATGATCAATATTCTCAGTATTTATAACACTAAGTATGATGAAAGGCTTCTATTTGGAGGGAGAAAAGTTAAGAAGACAACCTACAAAATCAAGAATACAACCTATAAAAGACATCATTAGAGATAATTAAAGAGAATAACCTCCTTCCTGGCATTCCAGTTTTTAAAAACTTGATACTTTGCCTTATTCCATAATTCACTTTGTATATTCTACTGAAATGGACTTTTTTGGTCCTATCTACTTATCTATTTTGTAAATTTTAAAATTACTATTTATAATATTACATAATTTATTAAGTAATACATATATGTAAGTATAGCTCTTTTTAATTCAAAATAAGAAAACAACTATAACTAAGAGGAAAATATTATTTTATAAAATTTTAAATTAGGAAAATGTGGAAAAAATGTAACCACAAAATATCAAAGAAATAACAATTTCTACTACTCTCACTGATTTTTATCCTATAGACAACACAGAAAAAAATGACAATCTTTTACAAGCTTTTTTCACAAATACAGAATTTGGAAGTATTACAGAAAAGCTTACTTTAAAGAAAAAATGTTTGTATACAATTATTTCTGAAAATTCACTTGAAACCTTTAATATGTCTGTATGAGCATCCTTCTTCTGCCTTTACTGACTTAGGAACAGATATAAAAGAATAGTATATGGTAAATTCTCGCTTATCCAGAATAGTTGCTATTTAAGATAATGCTAACAGCTATGACAATAAACCTCAAAATGTATAATCACATAAATATAATAGAAATTCAACTCTTGCTCACATAACAGTACTGCTTGTGAACTGCTTTGTGAATAGGTCAGCAGGAATCATTTTCCATAGTCGCTCAGGTACCCAGACCTATAGAATGCGTGGGCTCCATCCTACCAAGGGTTGGGGAGAGCATGTACGGGTCATACCTAGAAATGGCACATCTCATTCCTGCTTGCATTCTCATAAGTAAACAGCTTTAGTTGCTGTGACAAACTTACTCCAAATTTTAATTGCCTGATGAAGACAAATTTGTCGTCTACATCATTGTCCTATGTGACTAAAGGTGGGAGTGTACTCTGTTCCATGCAGTCACTCAGGGACGCAGTCTCCTTTTGTCTAGTGGCTCTATAGATACAACCAGGCTTCTTCCTCTGCCACAGTTAAGGATAAGATGTTTAGGTTACTACTTAATTTGTGAGTTGATTGCCATAATACTCATTTTTAAATCATTAAAAACCAGTAGCAATGCAAAAGTATTCTAATTATTTAAGCCTTGTGGATGTTTTGCTTTGGAGGCATGAGTGGGAGTTGCCTTAAATGTTAAAATAATGTTTTATTTTAAGAGATAGTTCTTCATTTGTTTTGTGTAAATGTCTACTAAAGAATTCAGACTTTTCTGCATGGCCCAAAGTGTTATGCTAGATAGACTTTATTGCCTTTCTCTCACACAGCCTTCTGAGAGAAACTTTCCCATCCATTGATCCTGGGAAGGCTGTCATAGTGTCTCAACTTTGGAGAGCCTTGGTGCAACCTCCTCCCATCTGTACACACACATACCACCCTACCAGTCAGAGGAGGAACTGACACCTGCCTTAGGCGGCTGGCCAACGACTGATCAGATTATCTCTTGAGAGCATGAATTAAGAGACACGGAGATTGTAGTCACTCGGGGTAGACACCTGAACCTAACTGGTCAAACTTCATTACTGCAGCTAGTTTGACTTGGCTCCTGTTCCTGTTCAAAGGAACTCAGTAGAATAAAGATTTGATGTGGTCTGGCCCCCTGCCTATGATCTCTTCAGCTGGTTTCTTGAAATGCTGCTCCTTCTCTACCCACTGTAACGGGCATTTTCATAGTACTGAGGTACTAGAGGCCTCCCAAATCTGCACACATGGTTCCCTCCGCCCAGAAAACTGCCCTTTTATTTCTTTCCTCTTGCATGTCTGTCTGGAAAAATCCCTCATTTTCTAGAGTCAGCTCACATTATGCTTCTATGACAACCCTCTTTGATTCCTCAGAATCTCACCTCCCATGATACCATTGGTTACATTGGATTGTGCATATCTGGTTATTTGCCTGTTTTCCATGGAACTGCAAGCTTCTGTCAAGAAGGGACTGTATAACTTTTCATCTGCATTCCTGAGAATCTACATAACAGCTGGCACATAGAAGGTAGTCACAAAATCTTTCCTGAATAAAGTAATAAACGATACCCAAGCATGTATTTTTATGACCCATTGACATTATTATGACATAAGCCAGAATTGAGGATAGTGATGTTGGCTACTAAACAAACCAGTTAGTTGATACCACACCAGTCAGTTGACACATAAGTTAGGAAGAGACTGTTTCATGTAGTCAGTCAATTTCAGGTACTAGAGTCAGGCAGACTCAGGCTCTCACTTCACTTACTATGTTACAGATCCTTTCTCAGCTATGTTTCCTTATCTGTAAAATAGGGTAGATAACCATGACCATGGTTTTGTAGAGTTATGTTGAGAATGAATAAAACAATCTGTGTATAACAGCACAGTCCCTGGCATGTAGGAAGACAATGAATTTATTGCTAAGATGTATTATTAAGAACCCCCTTTCAATTCTGCAGTTCTTTTGCCCAGTTGATTCTAGGTCAATTAACATACTGTCAATAGAATTTCCCAAACCTTTAAAATCTGGCTGAATGGCTTAGAAGTCCTAGTGTGAGATTAACCTAGCCTAGCCTAGTCAATCTCCTCAGTGGCACATACAGATGATAACAACTATATGTGGTAACTTTTATCTTTAGTAACTGGCAAAAATTTGGCAATACTTCCTAAGTTACTTGGCACAGACACTCCAAAAAGAAAAATAAGCTTAAATCAGTGATGATGCCAAAGAAACCCTGAAGGGAAGGGTCTGCAAGGTTGTGCACAACAAAGCATCATGGGTGATATTTATCCATGAATTAATGTGGCCCAGAACCTGACCTCAAGTCTGAGGCCTACAGTTCACTGTTCTCAGGACCTCAGAAACAGATGCACATGAATTAATATTCTGTGACTCCAAGTTATCATTTGAACATCAATTTTTTTAAATTAAGAAATGCCTCTCACTTAAATAAATCTTCACAATCAGTGTGTTCTGTCCCAGTTGTCAAGCTATTTGGGAAGATAAATCATAATCAAAAGGGTACTTTGGCAAAAACAGTCAAAAGGAAAAAAATTTAGATTATTTTATAAAAATCTTCTTAGCTGACATAGCCCACTCATTGTCATTCAACAAATATACATGCCAAGAACTGTTCTAGTTGTTGGGCATATAGTGGCAAACAAAATAGCTATAGTGGGAAGACAGAAATAATCACACAAATGCATTTATAATTAGAAATTGAAATTAGTGCTTTGAAAGAAAAAATACGATGGTATGCAAGAGAATATTGAAGGAGTCCTAAATCATATTTTGCCAGCCCTGACTTTGAAAATTAGATGAAAGAATTAGTGGAAGTTGGGAGAAGCAGGGAAGAAAAGAGTTGCAGAAGGGAAGAATTCCAAACAGAGAGAACAAAATGTGTGAAGGATCTGGGGCAGGAAACCCTTGACACAGGAGGAAGGCAGCCATTGGGGCTGTAGTGAACTTAGAGGAGGGAAGAAAGGTGCTAGCTGAAGATGAAGAAGGAACCAGAGGCCACTGATGTGTTTTAAGCAGAGAGGTGGCACAGGGCACTCTATTTTTAAATGATCACTTGGTAATGGAAGAATGGATGAGTATAGGGAGACTAGTTAGAAGACTAGGAAAGGTAAAGAAGATAGTGACTCAAACCAAGGCTGTGGTAGTGAAGATAAAGAGTATGGTTTCAATAAATATTAGGAGGTAGAAACATTACTTGGTGATGGACTGAAAGGGGAGAAAAGGGGAGGTTTTAAGGATGACAGCCAAATTCTGATTTGAGCAGTTGGCCAATTGGTGATGCCTCTTTCTGAGTTGGAGAAATCTAGGGAAGACCACTCCTATTTAATATAGTACTGGAAGTTCTAACTAGAGCAATCAAGCAAGAGAAAGAAATTAGAGACATCCAATAGAAAAAAAGGAAGTTAATCTATCACTATTCACAGATGATATGATTAAACCCATTAAAAGTGGGCAAAGGACACGAACAGTCACTTCTCAGGCATCCAACAAGCATATGAAAACATGCTCATCATCACTAATTATCAGAGAAGTGCAAATTAAAAATACAATGAGAAACCATCCTGCACTGGTCAGGATGGCTATTACTAAAAAGCCAAAAAAAAAAAAAACCAGATGTTGACGAGACTGTGGAGACTATAAGCAAGTTCAACCCCTGTGAAAAGCAGTTTGGATATTTCTCAAAGAACTAGTAGAGTTCCTATTTGACCCAGCAATCCCACTTCTGGGAATATACCTAAAGGAGCATAAATCATTCTACCAAAAAGATACCTAGGCTCGTATGTTTATTGCAGCACTAACCATAATAGCAAAACCATGAAACCAACCCAGATGTCTATTAATAGTGGAATAGAGAAAGAAAAAGTAGTAAATATACTCTACGGAATATCATGCAGCCATAAAAAAAGAACGAAATCATGTCCTTTGCAGCAACATGGATGAAGCTGGAGACCATCATCTAAGTGAATTACCACAGAAACAAAAAACTGAATACTGCGTGTTCTCACTTATAAGTGGGTACTAAACACAGGGTACACATGGGCACAAAGATAGGAACAACAGATACTGGACACTGCTAAAGAAGGGAGGGAGGGAGGCGGGAGGAATAAGGAATACAAAACCATCCACTGGGTACCATGCTCACCCCTGGGGGTGAC